CTCAGGGGTTCGAGACCAGCCTGGGCAACTTGGCAAGACCTCATCTCTACAATAAATTTTTAAAAATTAGCCAGGCATAGTGGCGCACACCTGTAGTTCCAGCTACTTGGAAGGCTGAGGCAAAAAGATCGCCTGAGTCCAGGAGGCCAAGGTCAAGGTTGCAGTGGCCATGAGTGTGCCACTTCACTCTAGTCTGGGTGTGAGACTCCAACTCAAAAAAAATAAAAATAAAAATAAAGAAAATCAAAATGAACAAAGGAAGCAATTAGGATAATAGCAAAGTGGCTGGTCACAGAAGTCTAGTTGGGCAACATCAATGGTAGCCATGAGGTACTGCCAGACTCAATTAAATAGAAACGTCAAGAACTAGAGAACCTTAGGAGGGCAAAAAGCTGACCCTTCGGTTTGAGACACTGAAAAAAGTGACTGGTAAGGAGGTTAAAGTGATGGGGAACATCTGAAGGGAAAGCAGTGTTGTAGATAAAGTCCTGGTTGTAGTGAGTCTGATGTGCAGCTCATTTGAAAACACAAAGGAAAGTCAATGGTATCTTGTCGAGGAAGATCAGAGTAGTCCAAAGGTGCTGAGGACACTGAGAATGACAGCAAGAAAGGGAGTGGATGTGATGCAACAGGTCTGGGTCCTTGTGGACAGTAGAGGATGGCCCTGAAGTTTTAGAAGAACTGCTGTAATTGCATGGCAATACCTTCCACGAGGATTAGAGCGATAGTTGTAGATGAATATCTGGAAGCAGTAAAGGAAAACAAAAAGCAGTTCATTCCTTCTCACCCAGAGTCACAGGGAACAGAAAATACCTCTTGGTGGCAAGGCGGGGTGAGATGTCATACCTGGGTTTTCATTAAGTCAGGGTAAAGAAAAAAAAGCAGCTAAGAGTAAAGAGAAATATACTGGATGATAAGTAGTATTTTTAAAGCACACAATAAAAGTTGCCAGTTGCCGGGTGTGGTGGCTCATGCCTGTAATCTCAGCACTTTGGGAGGCTGAGGCAAGAAGATTGCCTGAGTCCAGGGATTTGAGACCAGCCTGGGCAACATGCTGAGACCTCATCTCTACAATAAATCAAAAAATTACCTGGGCGTGGTGGCGCATGCCTGTGGTTCCAGCTACTTGGAAGGCTGAGGCAGAAGGATCACCTGAGCCCAGCAGGTCGAGGCTAAGGTGGCCATGAGCATGCCACTGCGCTCTAGCCTGGGCAACAGTGAGACTCTGACTAACCATAAATAAGTAAAATAAAAGTTGCCAGTTAAAGACAGACCTACTGGGTAGAGAGCAGGAGGAAAAATGTTGTACCACGTTGAAATGTGAGGTTGGAGAGAAGTAGCAGAGTCCTGAGTTGGCATTAGGTACCATAAGATAGGTGGGCTGAGGTGCAAAGAACATGGAAAGCAACAGAGCAAGAAGTATATATGGCACCGTAAAACAGACTGTGTACCATGGCACATGCACAGAGTGGCTTCTACAGAAGACTACACATACACAAAGAGGGCTACAAAAACAGAAACACCCTGCACTCGCACAGCATTTTACAAACTGCTTTCACAGACACTATTTTACTTGATCACCCCTGGGTACTACTATGCACTCAAGTAGATGAGGCAATTAGGAAGGGACAAAACTATGAGGAAAGTCCTGATTCCCAGTTTCCAACACATACACCTTACATACACAGCAGACTCTTCAGCATCTCAGACAGCCAGGCTGGAAATTCTTTACTAGCCAGAAGGAACAATGGGTTTTATCAACTTGTCAGAGGACTTGGGAGAAAAGCCACTAGACACCTTTCAGTTTGCCTCCCCCACCTTGGATCCCTCAATCCCTATCACCCCAGGGGTGGTGCCATCAAGGAGAACACTCAAGCCTAAAGTTCTATTAGGTTCCTCTTGCCTTCACCCCTCTAACTGAGGTGACCCAGCAAATGAAGACGAGGGAGTGGAAGAAGCAGTACGTGGCCATGAGGTGGTCTTCAGCAAATACAGCTTCAGGAAAAATAATAACATCGGGGCTGGGGTAGGGCAGAAAGCAGGTATAGCTAAGAGATGGGGGAGGGGAAGAGAAGGGCAGAAATTGGAGGGAACTTGGGACTATAGGAGCCCCCAAAGCTGAAGAACCTAAAAGAGAGATGGGTGCTCTAACTGCTGGAGAAAAGCTAAGGGCCCGTGAGGGTCCTGCAGCAGGGACCAGCAGTGAAAGACCCCAGGGCTTGGGTGACCGGAAGCAGAGACCCCCAAACACGAGACCAGAAGAGGGCGCAGGAGACACCCCGTAGGAGAGAATGAATGGGGAAGGCGGTCCGGGGGGCGGGGCAAAGGAGGGGCCCCGGGATGGGCGGGGCACAGACCCCTTTCCAAGTCCGAACCCCTGCCCCGAGAGCCCGGGGAGAAGCGGCTCCGCGCCTCCTGCACTCACCGCCGGTCTCGTCAGTTACATAGGGAGTCGCCATCTTGAAAACGCAAACCACTTCCGGCGTGAGCGGGCTGGGGTCCCGCCCCCCTCCCCACCGGAAGTGGAGCCCAGTCGTAGCAAGCCACCATTTTAGTCTTAAAGGGAGAGCGCACCATTTCATAGGCGGAGGTGAAGGAGAGGGAAAAAGGAGAAGCAGCCGAAGTAGTTAAAAAAAAAAAGCCATGGGCTCTTTTACTGCCGCCGATACCATTATCGAGCGCCTGCTGCGTGTAAAACAGTCCTCGGGGCGCCGAGAGAAGTTCCGAGGCAAAGTCCCCGTTCTCCCAGACACCCCCTCCCGCCTCCGTACGTCCAGGACCCGCGCGGTGAAAGGCCTCCAGGCCCACCTGCCCCGGAAAGGGGGGCTTAGAAGGAAAAACGGGAAGACTGCTCAGGCCCCGGCTCGGAGCGGCTTGGTGACACGGGGCAGACAAAGTCCAGGAACGCACTGGGGCGCACGAATGTTGCTGGGCCGATGGAAGACCCCGATCACCCTAAGAAGGTCGGGAGGTCAAGTTCGCGGGCCGAGGGCCCTCCCGGCCGCCCCGCTCAAGTCTCCGGATAGACCGCGAGGGGGGCGTGCGAGGCGAAGGGCGCTGCGGGTCGGTCACCTGTCCCCGCGGCCTCGAGGCGGCCGGCAGCTTCCATGGCCGAAGAGGCGGCGGGTCGGGCTGGCGGGCGGCCCGGGCCTGGCTCTGCCCCCGGGGCGGCGACGCGACGAGAACTCGAGTCCCTTCTTGCCCCCGGCCTCCTACCCGGGGTGCCTCTTCGGGCCGGGCCCCGGGGTCAGAGGGTAGGGCGAAGGCTTCCGGGCGGACCTAGTTAGTATTCTAATTAACCTCGTTCAACCGCTGGGGACCTACAGCCGGGCAGCTCGCCAGCAGCCCAGTCCCGAGGTCACTCCCCTTGGAGCCCGGCCCGACCCAAACGTCCCCCCTCCCCCGCCCCTTTCGGGGCTGAGTCCTGTTAAACTTGTTTCCCCCGCAGCCTGGGTGGGGCCGGCTGCAGGTTCCTCGCCCCAGGTGACGACGCTGCCCCCATAGAGCTTTTTCCGCGTCTGCCCCAGTACCCTCCTCCCTAGCCCCACTTTCGCTTCGGTTCATGTCCAGCAGTAACCCTGGAACCAGGGAGGAGGTGAAACATTCGTGACCACCTCCCATGCTGGACAGCATACCCCATTCAAAAGACAAAACATCAATGGCTGGTTCGGACCTTGATGAGACAGATAAGGCCTCAAGTTTTCCAGAGGCCACAGCCTGCCCCCATTCTCCATCTCCTAGGCTTCACCAGTGGTCTGGGGGGAGGGACTCATTTTAAACTACTTGCATACAACACACAGTTATCCAAGTGTTTGACACTGCCATCCTTAACCTCTGCTCTTTCACCCAGTGCACTTCAGCCCCCACCAGATCTAGCATCTTGACCTTAGCCAGGTTACTCATGATTAGGACTGAGCGTGTGGGGTACATTGGTCTCCACTGAACTACCTGGGGAGTGGTCTCTGATGGGCTGCTCGATAGACCTTCTGGCAGGCGGCATCCTAAAGTGGCCCCTGTTCACTACCCAATACTGGGCCCCCCTTTTACACCCCCAGACATCCTGCCTCAGCTCCGGGGTTGACAGGAAGTGAAACTCAATTGTCTGCTTAATAGACCAGCCTGGGACCCAGCCCTAGGCCCCGGATGTGGCCCCCCACCCAGAGGAGGAAGAGAGGAAAGAAGAGGTCGGGGAGAACAGGCTGTTTTTTCCTTTCCCTTTGTTCGTTGCGGTTTCTTTCTTTCTGATTGTTATGATGTGGTTGATTAAAGAAATGAGCACCTGGAACCGTAGGCATTAGACGCCTCCTCCTCAGATGTTTCTTGGCCTTTCTTCCCCCACCCCCACCAATAACTGACTTGGTGTGTGATGGAGCACAGATCTAAAGACACAAGGAAGCCTAGAGTAAGACTGAGTTCATTGAATCCTCATTAGAGAAATCACCTCACCCCCAAAAAAATGTCTTAAAAGGAGTGTCTCACTTTATGTAGAGACATGTCTGAAGATGAGTGAGAAAGTTACACATCAGGTGGTATCACTGCAAGTGTTGATTGCCAGGAAAGTTGAGTACCTTAAGGATGGGCATTCCAGGATTTGTGGATGAGGGGTCTGGGACAGAGAGCTGCTTGGCAGAGGGGCTAGGGGACCTCTTCTTATTTACATTGTATATTTGTGCTCAGAGCAAGGAGGCTTTACATACACATCAAGCCACTTTTTAGTGCAGTCCCTAAACTGGTGGGCTATGTCTTTGCCTGTACTGCAGAGCTAGTACAAGACCTGGTGTACAGTAGGCCTTCTACCGTGTTTGTTGACTATGACTAAGGTCATATATAAAGAGAAGCTGAATCTTTGCTAAGTGACGAAAAAAAAGAGGATGAGAGATGGGGAGGGGCAGGGCCCTTGTCTTTTTAAGATTGGGAGTGAGATGGTGAGACCTGGAGGGTCTTCAACCTCTGCTCCAGATCTCCAGTTTGGATACAGCAACAATACTTCCAAGCCGTATTACTCAGCAGCTATATATCTGGTAAAAGTAGAGGAATCTGTTCCAACAAGCCTGTCTTGAAACAACCAAGAACTGCTCAAATCCTTCTGTTTCCACTAGAGGGCCTCAGGCATTCATTCCCTTTCCTCTCCAACCCCCACCAAAAATGTGTATATAGTCTGTGTTTTTTGTTTTTGTTTGTTTGTTTTTCTTTTTTGAGTTGGAGTCTCACTCTGTCACCCAGACTGGAGCGCAGTGGCCGCTCCCGGCCACCGCGGCCTCAACCTGCTGGGCTCCAGCAATCCTTCCGCCTCAGCCTTCCAAGTAGCTGGAACTACAGGCGCGCGCTACCACGCCTGGCTAATTTTTGATTTACTGTAAAGATGAAGTCTCGCCAAGTTGGCC